AAGCTTCTGCTGGGTAAAATTTACTTCAAGTTTTACACTATTTATCATTTAGAACTGTAGTATCAAAAGAACAAACAAATAAACAAATCGAAATATGTATATGTTCCTATAAACAAGTATTTTTTTAATAATTTGAAGACTATATTGTAAACAAAACTAAATTCTACTCGCAATATTAAAAAAATAATAATAAGGAAGTATATGTGACTGTATAAAGTGCAAATGTACACTATTATTAATCAATAAATGTTTATCTTTTAAAAATTATACAAACCTTTTTGAAAACAAGACAGAATGCATCGTTTGGATACTATTAATTTTTTTAAAACAAAAATATATATAAACTTGCTTTAATGAATTGATAGTTATATTTTAGTTGTCATTATATTTGAGTAATGTACTATCATACTTTAGTTTTTTTCACTCCATTTTTCCTCTTGTTCTAGTGTAATCATTATGATACATCCAATATCCATCAATAGAACGCCTCTAATTATCTAATATCACTAACCAGACATATGTATTGGACAGGTTTATAGAACAGTACAAAACCTCTCATTTGCAATATCTGATAGAAATCCTCTTTATAATGAACCTTATATGGTACTCACTAAGGGACCGCTAATAAGATGTGAGAAGTGATATAGACACATTACGGTTGGTATTTTATTATAATTCTGTATCATTAATAGGTTTGTATCTTATTTGTTTCATTTTCAGCCATTTCTGACTGTTATAATGCGATAGTAGTAAAACCAACCAATTTTCACATAGTTTACAATTATATCGTCAATTATCACGTATACCTTCCATTTTTATTAGTGTATTTATCGTATTTTTATTTAGATTTTCAGCTAGAGTAATGTACTAAGTTTTTGTTGTTCTAATAAAAAGTTTGTTATCAAATATTAACAGAAATTCATTACTTTCCTGTAGTATTCTCTGTAATATAATTTGGTAGGTTTCATATGACCAACTCCTACTAGGGAACACTCTGATGTTTCATTGCTTAGTACTGAAAAAGTTATTGTGATTCTGTATTTTAAAGGGACTCATAAGCCTTGTTGAAAGGAAAACTTTGAAATACATTAGAGAAGTGATTATGGAGGCAAAGCGTCTATAATTCAGAGAAGTTACTGAATAACATTACTGATGAATGTATGTACGAAGTGATTTCATGTTATTGATCAATATTTTATCTTTTCTGACAGTTATTGTTATCAAACAAAAGTTGTGAGCACGGGCAGGTGGTAAACACTGAAAGTAATCAGAAATGTCAAAACTAACGGTACAATTCACCGATGTTTGCTAATTTGCACAAATCGCTGATTTCACATTACAAATTGGTTTCCTGTTAATCAACATATTTTTGGAAGAACTAATTAAGTCCTATCCCAAACTTTTATTTGAAAATCATTTATTACAGTTTTCTCAAAAAAGATGAACAAGGTCATATGAAACCATCAATATATAAGGTATAGTATGTATTATTTTAGATTGTTGGTTAAATTTTTCTACATTCCTTTATACTATACTTAATACATGTTCGTACTGTAAAGGGTGTGAGCTAAAGGGAAAGTGAAAAAGGATGCTATTAAGAAAGTGGCAAATTAATAAAAGCAAGCATTGTAACAGGGGACAAATTTTTGAATGTGAAAATTATTCGATTTACTTCCTGTTGTAGATGTCGTCCCTTAAACGCACAATCTGGTGGATGAATGAGATAGAGAATTTAACCAACCACGTACAAAGAATTTGATTAATGCTCTGAAAAAAAATCTAAATGGATTGAAAACTGAACCGTGTATTGCAGAAACCTAACACCAACACTTATAAAGTATAAGAAGTTAGCATTATTTATCAAGATAAGTAAAACAGATTTATATGAGCTATCTTTGTAGAAAAGCACATTGTTTTTGAATTTTAAAAGAGAGGAATGTTTCAGAATTTAAAACTTATTCAAATAGAAATTCACCAAATATTTCCAAGTTATTACCGAAACATCCGTCCTAATCGACTATCCCTTAGCTGTGTGAAATAGACATAAGAGATAATGTGGCTAGAGTAATCAAAATATCAATTTATTACCGAATGAGCAGAACTACAGTACTAGTTGAAAAAAGACTTCATTCGACTTTTTAGAAAACCGATTTTTTGATTTGTCATGGAGCAAAGGAACAGATGACAAATAGAACATATGTCACATCATTAAAAATATTATTTTTCGTTTCAATTTTCATCATTAATAATATGCGCCTTTTTGATAATCGTCCATATTATGTGCCCCCTTTCTAACTGAGCCCTATTCCACTCATCCTTTTCGCTCACGCTTTTCTAAATGAATACGCTTGATACATCTTTAAACTCAGTTTGAATTATGTTTAGAAGAACTTACTTTGTAAAATCAATGTGGCCATAATTTCGATCCTTTGCAGCGTTAACTTTCAAATTATTGATTCGTGTCTTCTCGTTTTGACAATTTCAGTGGATTAAGATGTATGCTAAGATACATATAGTTTGATACGTAAAAGCAAATAGCTATTTATTACTTAAGTTTCAGTTAGCATAATCAGAATATCTATAGCTTATGTACATTTGTCATCTGGAGAAATCTACGTCATGACAATTAATGTAACTGTACATACACTTTGCCATAAACTTATGTAAATGTTTTAAAAAAGAATACTGGCACTTCAATAACACTTTTAATGGCATTTTACTGTTTACTAATACTTTTAAACGATATATAACTTTTATGATTATAGGATTGTATCTTTATACTAGAAGTCATAAATAATTCAACTATTTAAGTAATTGATAACTTCATAACTAAAATAAAAAAACTTTCAAATTATTCCCCTATCTCAACGCTATTATTATCTAATAGGGTAGATCAAATAGAAATAGAATTTTGTATTACATGATAATATTGAATGAAACGTGTGAAGTACATAGAAATTGTTTTATAAAATGTTAATGAATGACTGCAAATGGATAAATCAAGTTATAAATTTTCACCTTACTATCTATGTACGTAAGTGAAGTATGTTTATTGTAATGTAATCGTTGTTTTCTGATCAGGTATTATTTATAATTAATATCAAATTAACATTTATAAGGAGAAAGAATCCTTTCTTTATCTAAAAGATAAATGGACATTAAAGAGCCATAATTTATATTTGATTAATTTGTAAACCTATGGTTACGTTTATGAATGCGAAAGTATTTTAGGTGACTACTAAATCACTAATGTAGATTTTACATTCAGAAAACATTGATTTTAGATTATTTCAAACATTGAGACATGGCTCTTTGTGAAAATGTTTTTGTCTGTTAAAACAAAATTTCTAATCAGGAAATTATGTGACTATATTTATTGCATACACATCGATCATAGCAAAACAGCGGCATTAGTTGAAATCCCAGAGAGTGCTGATTGAATTCTACTGAACAAGTTTCAATATGCTCATTAGTCTTAGTGAAACATGCACTGTGTTGAGATATGAGAAATTTGGAGTTAATTAGTAAAAAAACATGGATTCTATATGACGCAGGTATGAATACCACAAAGAACATTTTTTCCTTCAAGAATGGAGATACACTTGAGGACTAATATCAACTAAAATGAAATCTAGGTCTAAAGTTTTCCATCGACTACCTCTAACAAACCGAGTTGCTGAATCACTCAGACTAACGAATATATTTCAGCATAATCTATAAGATTCTCTTAAGACAAAGGAGTAAATAGTAAGGAATTGGGTGTTTAGCTGATGTAAGAGTGAACTATTCATAGCCATCTTTTGTGTTTTAAGTCGATGTTTCTGAACTGTTTGCCAAACCTAATAACTTGAAAGCGGTTTGTTGATCTGGTATACAAACGCAGGCAACTTTATAGTATTGAATTTAAATCCATCCACTGTACAATTATCTGCAGTATTGTTAACTATTGTTTAAACTGAAGTAAAACAAAGGTTTTCATCGGCGATTTGCAAACTGTTAGTTGATCTATTTAAATTAGTCCCAGTTGTATTTTGCACAGTTAAGGTTAAGATAAATTGAGGATTTATAAGATAATTTGTAGTTGTAATGCTACTACTCATTAAATTTCCTATAATTTTCATCTAATCCATTCTAACTACCTACATTCGAACACTCATTTTTAAAATGTGGAGGCAGTTTTCGCCATAAACTATAATCCTCTAGAGACAGGTGTTTTGAACCAAAATGTATCAAGTGAGTTAGACTTCACCTCATTGCATAAGCAAATGGCTATCAGGACTCAGTAGCTAAGTGGATAACGCAATGGCGTTTGAAGCGAACGGTATTGGGTTCGAGTAACAGAGTGAACATCAATCTTGAGATACAAGTACATACAGCTGACGAGTCCCAAATAGGACGAAACGCGTGTTCTGGATTCCAATGCTAGTCACTATCCATCTTTGCTTACAATGTTTCCCTAGCTTGTTACCAATATATTTATAGGTTTGATACCACTGGATAACTGTTAGTTTTATATGACAAATCAATAGATTCAATCTCACGATATTTCATCTCAAATTATTTTTCGACAATGTTTGATCATAATACAGTTCATCAAAATTAACACAGCATCACATATTACCATTATCTTAGAGCATCAAAAATGTTTTAGCATTTTTAACCCCTTACATTGTGATTAATACGTTTAACGACACAGTACATTATAGAATGACAAATTAAACATATCAGTGTTAAAAGAGAAAGATCGAAGAATCAGAACCCATTTTTCAATTGCAATTTCTATAAGTATTGAATGAAAAGATACAACTGTTCTAATTACAAGATCCATTACACAGAAAGCCGAGCAAGTTATTAAAATTATTAGTTTACTGAAAAAGTTTTTGTATTGTTTGTGAATTGTGAAGCAATTAGTTCCTTTGATAAATTTAATAAAAATATCTGATTCATAGGTGTATGTATACACAAAAGATTCATGTTCACCAAAGGCTTTTAAACGAAATTTAAACACGTAAATTAAGTCTTGCTTTATCCAAGATCTCTTTTTGAATTTTCGGATAATTTGGATAAACTGATAAAACCTGTTTTACATAGAAAAGAAAAATAACACAATTTTATCATTTTTAAAGAAAAATAATTTAAAATATAAGCTTATTATTATATAGGGATAGCGACAATGCGATTTAAGGCAAAGACAAATACATCTATAGCTATAAATATATAAATTTCTACCTCACTTATATAGTAATACATTTTAATAACAAGTTTACATGCTGTTATTAAGTCATTATCAGTTAGTAACAAATTATCTTAGAGATTAACATGATTTGGACAATTTTATGTTCAACAGTTGAGATCATGAGTTAATTGAAGCTAGACCACCATGGAAAACCTGGAATCACTGGACAACCGTTTCATCTTATTGTGGTACTCCTCAGCAGTGAGTAACCACGATCCTGCCTCGCGAGATTTGAACCCAGGACTTATCGGTTTCGCAAGTGAACACTTAACATCTAGACCAATGGGCTAGCCGGCATCCAACAGGGTTAATGTCTAACTGCTATTGCCCACAAAAAAAAATAGTTAGGGTATCATTGAAAACCAAAGAGTACTAGTCAACTATTTCACCCTGATTCGGAAAGTTTCATGAATATTAAACCATAACCCCCAATCGGTGATAGAACATATTACATTGAATTGCTAAATGAAAATTCAACGACTTACATTTCCGAATTCAATAAAATTAAAGTGGTATGGAAATCTGTTTTTATAAGGATCAAATCACTGATTAGTAAACAATAAGTTTTTATTACTGAACTATAACTAGTTACAAGATTCTTTCTTATAAATCATAATTAAATTTTATTTCTATGTCTAATTAAGCAGATGAATATTTCTCCCGAATAAAACAGTATTAAGTAATCATAAATATAGAATATTTGAGCGAACAATTGTTTTCAATAAATTGATCATCAGGCTCTGCAGTTATAAGTCCATAATTATGATATTTTACAAAGGCCAAAAATAAAGCATGTATTAATGAATTCGAGAATGTTATGTGTTAAAAATGGTGAACGTTTGCATCTGTTACGATATATATACTTCAAAATTGTATTATTTGCAAATTAGAAAGGTCATTCAATAAAGGTCAGAATGATTTGAAGTGTCCAGTCACAATCAGTATAATAGTAATATAACAAAATGAAAAAAATCGTGTGAATAAAATGTATAGTAGGAGAATTTCATCTTGTTAATCGAGGTAATAATAATGGTGATGATGGTAATAATTATGATAATAATAATATTGTTGTGCGAATATGACATGTAATAAGAGGGGTGTTATCGAGGTTATTACGATAAAAAAGAATTCATGTGAATCGGGAAGAATGAATGTGGAGAATAAGAGATATATAAAAGTAAAAGGAATTGGGAGGGGGTGGATAAGAGGTTTATAATATCCAGTTTATGTAACCGGATGATCCAGTCGTGGGTCACAGTAAACATAGAGGCTGAATATACCTCTTCTTCAGTTGATCCCGACGATTTCAGTCATATGGAGTAACCGCAATCTTGTTTTTTGAGGTAGATTCTTTGAAACTTGATACAAAACAGAGAAAGCTTAATCTATTTTAATATGATGTCCACTATCTACCAAGTGAGAACAAACAGTAGTGTTAATCGTTTAAGTGATTTCTTTTTCCAAAAATGATGGTACATGTTCACGAACACACAAGGATAAATCCCTATGAGTACGGCCTATGTAACAAGCTTCACTGGAGAAGTTGAATTGATATACACACTTTACTACACATCATTCTGACATAATTTGGAAGTATTTGTATTGTAATAGATGCAAACATTCACCATTATTAATATTTAAAATTGTTAAACTCATTAATCCATGCCTTATTTTGGCCTTTGTAAAATACCAGAATAATTATAGACTTATAACTGTAGAGCCTGATGATAAAGTTATTGAAAACGATTGTTCACTCAAATATTACATAACACAAAAAATTTCGTTCAATGTTAAATTGTTTAACCTACTTGTAGGGAAACTTCAATTGCTCCTAAATAATTTTTACATTTTAAATAATTGTAAGCCAGTTTATAACCTGTATAATTAAAAATAGGCAGTAATCAGAAAAAATAATTGTATATTTTATAAATATCTAGCTGATATTTTAAAGATATCAATATAAAATAGTCTTTACATGTAATTTATTCGTTGAACAGCATGAAAACAACGTAATTAACTGATAACTGATATCATATTCTGTCATTAGACAAAATTAATTTGAAAAGAAAATAATAAATGTGATGGAAACCGATAAATAGATGATTCAGCTATGCTTAAGACCGTCCATTGGCTTTCAGTGATTTTGTAACTGGGGTTGATTCAAATTGAAAGTATATGAATTGCTAGTCAAAGAGAAGGTAGTTCATGATACTTATCAATATATCATAGACCATTCAACATTGACTTCATCGTAATATATATATATATATATATATATATATATATATATATATATAACAGTAAAAAGCTTGGTGAAAGCTAAGTTCAAATACGTCATTAGGTAAAAATCGAAAAAGCACAAATGTTCAAATTGTTACGTCACTGGCCATAAATAAATACTAGAGCAGTAATGTCTCTGTGTAAGACTTTCAATTTGGTTTTAATATTCAGCTAATAAGATTCAATAGAATGAATGATACTTGCTTATTGCTTTGTTCTTACTTGCTTTCATCAACGGGTAAAATTTAGGAAAGCCAGTCCTATGATTAAGGTATTAACAACATGTACTCTGTAATTGCATTTGCATGTATTTTCAGTATATTTGGTATATAGGTAGTAGCAGAATTCAAGACTCTTATTTCTCCATGTTTTGGATTGATTAGCTAGATCAGCTAAGGATTTGTAATCTTGAATATCAACAACAGGAAATTATAAACTATGATTATAGAATCTAATTGTTTTTCTTTAATAGTTTTAAATTTCTCAGTTTATTTATCACAACTTAATGGTGATATATAACTAGTAAGATCAAAGAACTAAACTATTTTATGCTACAATTATCATACCACAAATAATATCCCTCATAAGATCATTTAAATTCTAAATATGAATTCATATTATTTTCAAACTATTAGCCATGTTGCACAATTATGACGACTCATAAGCATTATCCAGAAGTTGAATATCTATAGTATAACAATAAAAATCATACGAAAGAATAGCTTTTTCATTATCATTATCACCATCATCATCATTATCATCGTCATCCTTATTATAAAGCATTCGTTTACATTTACTAAATCTCGTGCTTATTAAATCCAGAGGTATATGAAAAGATAGTGAACAAAAAATAATTACACAAACATAAAAAAATCTGAAATACATACAAACAAACATAACCACTCAACATGTAATATTCCCAAGTCAATTTTTACAAGTACAACGGTTATATTTTTTGTTTTTGCTGATAAATTTTCATTTTAAAAAGTGAAAAGAAAAGCATAAAAGTGAAGTGAATGAACCCGCCTGCCCCCCAGAAATAAAAACCGAACGAAGCTGGTACAAACCAATAGAATTCAAAAACGATATTTGAAATTTTCAAACAAACAAAAAATGATCTGACAGAAGTATATGTTCGTGAATACGTTCGAAAAAAAAGAAGTTAACCAAGGAATTATAAATCAAAGTAATTAGCTATTACAAATTGGATAAGATAACAATCTATTCGATTGTTATATATTTGTCAATGATAAAATAACTGTATATAAAATATGTAAAATGGCATGTGATATTTTTAGTTTTTGTTTTTTAATTATGCAGTACATATTTTAGAAAAACAATTGAAGATTAAATACCATAGGAAATTTAATTGTAATAAAACTTACATTATTTAACAATTAAAAAGATAAGATCATTCTGCACGGAACTAATTTATGTATCTTTAATAGTTGAGATCATGAGTTAATTGAGAATAGACTACCATGTAAAACCTGGACGGTCGTTTTGTCTTGTTGTGGGACTCCTCAACAGTGCACATCCACGATCTCGTCACTCGAGATTCGAACCCAAGACTTAGCTTTAATTGATTTATGAACTCAACTATTAAAATTACTATAATATCCACAAAAAATCCTTCTGATATTAATTTCTGCATCATTAAATGTTATTGTACAAAAGTTTATGAAATATTGACGTTCTTAATTCATTACATTTGGCAACTTTTTCAAAATTCCCTTAATATATTTTATGATTAAAAAAAAATAAATCTACGTAATAATTGGGAAAACATAAGTATAATCTTACTTGTCAATGGTATTTTATTGCTACGAATTACATATAACTTAAACTGACTACTAAAAGAGCGTATTTAAAGCGTTTCATTCCTTTTGGTTCATGGACATCTTTTACCAGAATTTTCGTTTAATATACCTGATAACCTGTATTGTGGGATAACTTGTCCTTAATGTTCATTTAAATTAATCAATACACTGATAATTCATCTATAAAAATTTGTTTTCATAATATATGAATTTGAGAACTTATCGATAGTTTCTTCAGTAAGTTAAGTACAATTGATTTAATTTGAAGTTTTTTTTTCATCAGAAACAAACATAAAACATACTGAACAGATTACTAAAGACTTTTTTCAAAAATGATAATCAAGTTATGCTAGTTTGAACACTGTAAGTATAATGTTCAATCATTGGATTATCTTAAATTTCTTATGCACAATGGTCACTACTTAACAGAGTCTTTGACTATTTAAAGCAATCATTTTTAATATTATATTGTTAGATTTCTCTTACCAATTACAGGATTTTGATGATTTAAATTATTCCAAATATATTCATAATATTTTGCAGCTTCAAGGAAGTTTTGTTCTTTTTCCATAATTAAACCGAAATATTCATAAGCTTTGATGCTTGACTAGAATTATAAATCAGAAATATATGAAACATTTATTATTGACAAAATTGAAATAACTTCTTGATGAAATCTTTGAGTTCATTTAAGGAGCAGAATAACATCATTAGTCTTGAATCTAGGTACACAAACATGCACTTGATAGACAAATTAAATTGAACCAAAAATTGACTAATAAAATATATAAATTAGAACTGAACTCGCTTAGCCTCATGCGGTGATACGATATTTGAGTATGAAACAGATATTTTTACCTAATATAATTAATAAACCTTGTTAAAAAATGTTATTTTTTATAGTGCTCATTTCATCAGAACATAGAGTGATACTAAATTTTACAACGACGACATACATCTCAGTCAAAACTTAAAGCTGCTGCTGTAAGATAATCATGATATTATCTAGAAGAGAAAATTAGCTTACTATAAACATATGTAAAGTATTGATTATTACTAGTCTGGAAATATCTACAGGATACATTAAGTGCAGAAAAAGTATAATAAATTGGATACTTATATTCCTGAAAACTGACTTCAAAACTATAAAATCTAGTTTCTGGAAATATTAAATCACACGACATTGTGGATTGATTGAAGTTAGACATTGACGCCTCTGGACGCCAGCTCAATGGTTCAGAGGTTAAGAGTTCGTGTGCGAGACAAGAGGTTCTGGTTTCAAGACCAGCGCGCAGGATCATGGATGCGCACTGTTGATGAGCCCCATGTTAGGACGAAAAGGTTGTCCAGTGCTTCCAGTTTTTCAGTGATGGTCTAACATGGATCGGTTCATGATTTCAATGAAATCTCAAAATAGTAGTAAAAATACTTTCTATTTAATTGGTTTGTTGTGTTTGATAAGTAGAGCTTTTAGGTCGATGGAACTTGACCTGATTGTTTGAATAATTAGTAGCTAAACTACAAATGTCATTAAATAAAAGTATTTAGGATTTAAATGATGAAAACATTTTGGTGCCGCTTACTTGAGCTTACAAATATATATTACTTGTTTATTTTAAAAAAACATGATGTATCTGTTACATAATAACACCAAAATCCAAAAATGATGTTGTGATGAAATTCAGAAGAGAAATACATTGCTTGAAATTTGATCATTGAGGATTAATAAATACAACTGAAACAATAACTCAGTTAAGATCACGGGGTTTCAGTTAAAAGTGACATATTATTGTTTCTAAAGAACACAATGAAAGATCTCACTAGAATTGATACTGGCTTCTGTTGAGAGGGAGCATTGAGTGTCTCTTGACTCATTAAGATTCACAGTTATAAAGACATGATTAAAATAACCTCAAATAATCAACAGATGCTGATCTAAAATAAGTGTTTTCTTAGAATAAGAGCTTGTGTAAACTGGTGAATTCTGTAGTTTGCAATGCAAATTAACTCTCGTTAAGTAACAATCAAAAATCAGGGACCTCTGGATATCTGTTTCACCATATTTAGCAATTCACTTCCACGACACCAGCATTGTTCGAACACAGGGACTGAAAACTTAGCATGAAGAATCTTATATTCAAGTCCACTGAGTTTGAGCCTAGTGGTTTACATTTCTAACTTTAGTCGATTAACCATGATGATGCGTGATAGTGGTTACTTCTGAAAAGTCTCACACCAGAATAAAACAGCCCTCCAGAATCTCCTGACCTTATACAGTTATCTTTTAGTAACTACTGTCTGACTACAATTTGATGTAGCGATTAAGAGATTAAGGATATATGTATCCTACTTCGTGTATGTTCTGTAGACTTGACACGTTTACAAAAACTGTATATAGAATGTCGGATACTAAGTGTATTTGAATTACATGTATTTCAAATTTGCTAATAGTCAACGGCAGACAAGCGATAAGGATTTCAGCGACTGGAGATCTATAATACAATGATTACGAGAATAATAAGGCGACTTATTTTTTGTAATTCATGTTTAGAACACATGAAGTATATGTACCATTATACATACAAGCATACTAGGATACTCAGGGTTACACTGGTTAACTGACATAAGAAAATATCTAAGTAGCAGAGTAAATGGAAAGATTAGAATAATTCATTTGTCCGAAGGTTAAAATAAATCATGTGTGAATGTAGCAATAATAACAGTTATTGGCTTGCTAAGGTGATATAAAACATGTCATTATTTTTATGGTAACATAACGTAGACTGATCACGTAACCGCATTTTTAATTATTTATTGCACTGACAGTATCAAACCCACTGCGACAACGTAAAGCATTAAACTTATACAAGGTTTTTTTAAAACAACAACTGGGAACAGTTAAACGGTATAACATAATTCTCTTATATTCATTACGTTTAGTTACAATAATTCTCTTACCTTATTATACTTGAGACATTTTTTTAATAGATCCTGACAAACGTCAAGTTTACCACTTTGTATATACATATCAACCAAAAGTAACCATGATTTCTCTAATTCTTCAGCATCCTAATCAAATATGAAAATTTAAAACAAAGATATTAAAAAAGTTCAATAATGATAATAGTAGTAATTGATGCTTTGAAAGCTGCCAATCAATGATAACGACATCAATGAGTAAATATATACGAAAAGATTGAACAGTTTGTGAGTTTCTTCAAAGTTTATAGAAGCTTTGGGCATAAGAAAACTCAAATCACCTTAATGAATATAGAATAATTATTTCCTCGTTTTGTTTCCGCTCTAGTAAACTGCAACTAACTTTACAGTCCCAGGAGAATTTCACATTACCTCTATATTATTTTTCCCCTTCTTTATTTAAAATTGTCAATTTGTATGTTCATTGAACTTAAATTTAATTGTTATAGTTTAAGTCAAAAGCTGGCCTTAACTAGACTACCACTAAAAATTAGGAATCACTGGAAGGTTATTTAGTTCTAACATGAGACTAATGATTGCGCATCCAGAACGTCGCCACAAACAAACAAACAAACTCAAAACCGGCTTTATTCATAAACAGTTAATCTTTAGAGAAATAAACCAGCTTCGAATGGTATACATTTATTTTTACTTTATTCAATCGGCAGTATTTTGCGTTCATTTTCTAGTACCTGTGATGAATAACTGTCGCATACCCGACATGGTGTGGTCGTGAATCTTCACTGCTAACGAGTTTTATCTTTTACTCTATAGGATAAAATTAAAATGGCTATTATAATAATAGTACGAAAGATCATGTTAAATTCATTAATACCAGATTATTCGTATGATAAGAAGATTCAGAGCATAAACTAATTATACTCATGTATACATCACGAAATATATATATCAATTCACAGAGTCTTCTTCATATACATCTAACAATATCACAGCGTATTTAGGATCGTTTCATTCTGTTCATTCATTTACACTTCTTAAGGGTTTTTGTTATACAATTATTTTTAAATAGTTCAAAGTTTGATAAATAACCAAATTTTACATAAATGTTAATACTCATGTTTTAGTTGCTCATATTAAGTAGAGCCTATCAGATTGCCCAATTTTTGTCAACCTATTCGTTTTAATATTGATGAATATACGTATAGGATACTGTAATTGTTTAGTGGTCATTTTATTCTGTTCAAAGTTAAACGAAATATCGGACAATGTAGATAAATATTATTTAGAAAGAATAAAAACCTAACTGATAAAGTATTCCAGCTTTAACTATTCAGTTACAGATTAGCAGCAAGATATTATTATTAACTCTCAAACACATAAAAAGGTATGGAACAATTTGAGTACATCAACCTGTAACTGAAAAGTCAGTTGCGTTAGTAAATGTACCAATAATTGCTTAAAATATCCAACCACTTTGAGAATTTTACTTTAATAAGTAAATTCCATTCATAAAATTGACGGATTAGTAACTTATAAGTGTAAACTTGATAAACACAGGTTGAGGTAAAAACTTTTCATTATGTGAAAGTAGAGACCAGTAGATCGTACACATTATGAATTCCCATATTATAAAAATCTTTCTCTTTTACCTACTGACTGCCATTGAATATCAGTAATTAGTTTATCGATTCATTTAAAAAGCTTCATAGTCTCAAGTCACTATAAGGTGTAGTACACATACTGTGCCACTTGGTACCTCAGTATCCAATGGTGAACTGTTACATGAAAAGGTTGGAAATAAGCAATCAGGAAGCCAAGTCAAAGAATGACACCAGTCACTGGAAGCAATAAAGTTTTTCCAATCTATATATATATATATATATATATATATATATATATATATATATATATATATATATATATATATATAAATTATAATGCCATTGATATTATCCATAATTTATCTTGATGGAAGCATCATTGATTCTTAATAGTTAGACTGTATGTTACTTTGTTTATTCTAAATATAACACATGCATTGGCCTTTAGGCTTTGTTTAAGGAATGCAAATTATGTTAGATATAATACCATGGACCGAGTATTAATTAATTGTTTACAACATATAACAGCTATTTTAAGAAGGAATTTCAACAATACATTGTAACTAGTGAGATTTCATTTTATTCAGTTTGTCATAAGCATTTTCAGTCTAAAATGTATTGTATATCACAAATGAAATGGGATTCGTAAATTTTTGTACCCCAGTAGCTAACATTATGAATATATTGTTTACTTTATTCACTTCTTGTATTATCGATAAGATCAAGGTTATTTTTTCAACTGTTATTGCCGTAAAAAAGCTGGGTAATGTATAATGTTAAATGTTACTCATTGATTGTATGAAATATCATTCGTTTGATTAATCGAATTTAATCAATTACAAAAACTTTAAACAATATATATTTTACAATTCATTATTTCCAGAAGGGGTTTTTGTGGATATTATAGTAATTTCAATAGTTGAGGTCATGAGTCAATTGAAGCTAGACCACCGTGGAGAACCTGGAAGCACTGGACGGCCGTTTCGTCCTGCTGCGGGACTTCTCAGCGGTGCCCATCCAGCGCTCGAGCGCTTAACATCTAGACCACTGAGCCGGTATCCAACGGTGTTAATGTCTAAATTCAACTAATTCACAAAATTGAGCGACTCATCCACCATTGTCTTCAGTGAGTTACTGTCTCGTAACAGACCTTGTTGAACCTCACTGGTCATTAATTCTCACTAGAACTCCAGGAAATACTTTTTGAGGTCAGTCAATAGTGAGTATATGCTGATTAGTATCAGAATGGGTTTTATTAATTAATTTTATTGACATAATACAAGTTAGTTTGTTTTGGCAAATATGTGAACTTATAAATTTATTCATAACATTTAAATTTATATTTTGTGCCCGTAACAATGTATTGTGAAAAAGGTATTGTGAAAAATCAACAAGAACTGAATGACTATTTTATCCTTGTATGAGGCATTTCGGGACCGTGCATCCGTAACCACACCGGGGATTGAATCCTGGACTTCCAAGCCTTGAGGCGAGTGCTGAATCTATGGGTCTCTAAGTTGTTATCTAACCATTTATATTTGTAAATTCTGTCTATTCAAACTGCAAAACCACCATAATACTCTGTAGTACATTTTGAAATGTCTAAATTCAGGATACTATTTGTAAACATACGGTATTTCATGCACATTTTAAACAATATTATCATTTTGTATGCTAAGCAATTTGTCACATATATTCAGAAGGAATTCAATTCATAAATTAAGTTTGTATAAATCAGCACATATCTTGTTACATTGTTTGCTATCAAATCGATCATTATTGTATCAGTAAATTTCAGGTACCAGTTAGTAGATAACTATTTTTAGATATCAAATATGAAAATACTTTTAGTTATAAACTGAATAAAGAAAGAAGTAAAGTGGTCACATTTTTTAAAAATGAAAGACTCCAAAAAAACACATATAAACAAAAGTTTGGAAAATTAAACTGTGATAATTTTAGAAATTAAATGGGTGATTGATTGGAAAATGTTTATTTTGTTAAAGTCATTAGACGATCATTCCTTGTTATATGGTATTTCGATTCACTGGTACTGATAAGGTTATGAAATATAAATATTTTTAGTACCGTTATTAACTTATAATAGTTTTAACTAAGCATAAAGACGAAAAGGAATCTCCATTCCATTCAATACTGAAGTTAATAGTAAAACTGGAAAAAAAACAAACTGAAAATGTACTCTTCACAATGAAGTTTACTTTCCTCTCTAATGAATAGAGGTAGTAACAACAATAATCAAAGTTCAAACTAACGATTTATTTAACATATTAGTTTAATTCACTTTACATCTATGATCATTTTGTCATTACTACAATCAAAAATAGAATGGTTTATAGAAATGTTAAATTAAAGGAATGTTATAATAGTAGTGTTATTATGATTAATACATTAGATTATCTTTTTTATTCTATTTAATACGATAGAATATCAAAGCTGGATAGCAGTAAACGAAAAGAAATTGTATTTGAATGGTGAAAAGTTTTCATATTCCCATATATATATATATATGGATTATGTGTAACCTTTTAACGTTTTAAAGTATGTAAACAACATTGTGTGGAAACAGAATGAATAGTAACCGATTGTTTCATTGGAATTGTTTTTTATTAAATCTAAATCATTAAGTGTTCAACATTTGTACAATGTTCTAGTACATATTTATTTATTTTATGTAAATTTTTTTTCTTTTTGCTAAGCTCAGAAGTAATAGATTGTTTCAACTTAACAAATAAAATATATACATTACCATAAATTTCCATTTGCTTACAAATGAATTTGATATGAAAAATGTTTAGCTGTAATAACAAATACTTCAGTAGTTCATTTAGTATTGTTTGCTTATATCTTCCTATTGTTGTTTAAGACTGCAAGTGATCCGTCTCTTGTTGGCTTATGTACATACTATGCGGACTGCATCGATATTGCCTTAAGTCACAATCTTTATAAGCAAAGATGGATAGTGGCTAGCAGTGGAATCCAGGATGTGTGTTTCGTTCCATTTGGGACTCGTCATCTGGATCTACCTGCATTTCACAGTTGAGTTCTAAATTGGGTAAAAGGCGCATCTTGGATTCCACTGCTAGCCATTATCCATCTTTGTTTATACTTCAGTAGTTGTTAAATACTTTTGTAAAGAAAAAAATTCTATGAAAATATTCAAAGTTAGTGGAATGCAGGTTACGAAAGCAAGAAATTATCACAAATTAATATCGATTGATAACATCATATAAAATTCGGTAGAGAGTGGATAAGTGTTCTGTCACTTTAACAAGTAGCACTCACAAGCAATATAAGAAATCAAACAAAAAAGCCATTGAATTTCATAGAAAAGATGGCCCGGTGGTAAACATTAGAAGCTTTACATATATTGTGACAAACAAATATAGTCAAGTAGACTACTGATCTAAAGGGATTATTTTGAAATTTTTTTTGATTGTATTTATTTTTACCTCAATAAAACAGCACTAGATTAATTTGACTTTAGTGAATGATCTTATATGGAAATCTAATATTATCATTTTATCACTAATGTTCTTAAAATATTGGATATAGATGGTGAAACCAGGCGATTATTTTGTACATGGTTTTATTGCGATTAAAGAAACTGATTATCGGCCTTTGAAAGTTTCTTCATTGTAGTTATTAGGATGTGTGTAAGTTAGGAAGACCTAATCAGTTGAAGTTTCTCAAAATGAATGGATGACAAATAAGTTAACTCACGTCTCACGATTTACAATGTTTTGATAGAATAACCATGATGGTAATGATATCTTATATATTCAACATTAATTTCAAAGCATGATAAAACTCAGGAATTTATTGTAATACAAGGCTAACAGTTTTCAAAATACAGCGGTAGTAATCATATCTAATCCACGATACTATTTATTATATTTTAAGCCAACAATGAAAGCATAAATTTAGAAACAGATACAATCAAGTGACCCAATAAGAGCAGAGGATAAACATCCATCATCCTCTATTGCTAAACATATAATTGAAACAGGGCACAAGATTGATCTAAACTCGGCTTTTGTGGTATTATATAAAAGTGTAAAAGGGCGTATACTAAGATTTATTGAAGCCTTAGCCATACGAAAATTCAAACCCCCTTTGTGTATTCAAAAACAGTTTGTTCTTATCTTAAACCTACCCTGGTAATATTGACTTATTATCCAGAGTTATTAGGTTTTGAATTATTATTATTATTATTCATTATTATTATTATTATTATTATTATTATTATTATTATTATTATTATTATTATCTCCTCTTACCCCATTTCCAGTCTAGTTGACCTTTTATTTTTATATATAAATGCTCTTAACAAGTATATGTGTGATCAGATTGTTCGAAATGTATTGCGCTAATATATCACATAGTTCTGATAATCTCCGTCTTCTTATTACATTATCGAAATTTAGAAATTAATGTTCCATCTTTAAAACATATTTTCAGACTTTTTTTCTCGCCAAAAACTAGAGTAATAGTCTCTCAACAATTATTTCTATTATTAATAACGACCATAAATGATCCTCGTTTCTTCAAACTGAAAGACCTTTTATCAATAGCAGTCCAAAATATAAAAGTATAAGCCTTTCTCCAAATTTACTTTTCATCTAACCAGAATAAGCACTTAGATCTAGATTTTGCCCTTAGTACTGAATATTAATACTAGACATAAGTCCAATATTCTTTAATTTTCAATGACTGTCTAATTTCATTTAGTTTGCAATGTCTTCAATGTCTTTGTAAAGATTCAATAATTATCAGATCTAATCATTGTAAAACTAATTCAGAGTTGAAATATATGATCCAAAGAAATCATTATTTAGTTAAATGATTAATCCAGAAGCTTTATACTGCTTTCATTATTTGATTCTATGTTATTTATATATTAAAACTAATAAAACTATTGAAAGTAAGATTAATCATTTGTTATTAGAATTTGAATAACTGAAAAACTGTGCAAAACAAATTTAAATAATAATTAAAATAGAATTTTACTTGAAAATTCCAAGGTACTTTTGCTAATCTCTTCAATTGATTTCTGGCTTTTTGACTTTGCTTTAATTGTATATAACAAACAGCTGCACCATAAATAGGTGCTACGCTATCTGGCTAGAAACGAATAAATATATAAAAAGTAAATTTCTAAGATTGTTAACTAATTCAAATCTTGAAGTTTCAATTTAATATCCAACGAATCATGTCTAATAATATAGGGGCACTAGACTTTATAAGCCTAGATAGATGGTGGCTAGCAGTGGAATCCAAGACGCGTGTTTCATTCTATTTTGGACTCGTCAGCAGGATGTACGCGCATCCAAAAGTTAATATCCATTCCACGTCTCGAACACAGTACCGTTCGCTTTAAATTCCATTGCGTTATCCACTTAGCTACTGAGTGTAGATAACCACTAGCATATGCAATGATGTAAAGTTTTAACTCATTTTTTTATAGCATGTTTGGCATAAAGTTACTAGATTAATATCTACTGTAATTTTAGTAACTGGGAATATTTTTATCAATTCTGAAGCCCTACAATAATCAGTGAAATACTTCTAACAAAATAAAATATTCAATTGGATGTAATATTAAAGTTCAATAATCAATGTCCCAAACAATCACAACATAAACTCCACGAAACGACTGATCCAGTTGTTCGTTAGAGATAAAAAACAAACAAAATTCAAGGTTACATTTAGCCAAGAAAATTTTTTTATATTTAAAAAACATTTTTAAACATATCCACAAGTGAAATTCTTATATATATTTGGAATTAACATTTTCCCGCGCTTTCGCATACAATTTACTAATAACGACCAAAATATCATGTTTTTTTTTTCACCATATTTCCTTTGGTCTGCTCTTAAAGATTCACAATATATAGTATTTCATTTCTATCCCGAAAGAATATTTCTCCTGTTTATAATACAAAGCCTTCCCACAAATACCTGAGTTTTCTTTTTACATGACATAAAGTTTAGTCAAATAATTATTCAATGTGTCACTGAACAGGTTCCAATGATTGTTTTAGAAAGTTCGTTACAGTTCTACTATTTGCAAGCGATACCAAACGAACACCAAATACATTACAGATGAATCAGGTGTTATTTGATTAAGTACTGTAAAATGTATTTAAAATATGTTAAATTTTTTAAAAAATAACTGAAATAGTTTAACAGTAAAAGGCGCACTAATATCTTCATTTTCAAGATGATAGTTACAAATAAAATTATATTTTAAATAGTAAATGCATTGAACTGTTATAGAAAATATAAAGTTAATATTTAGGCATATAAACAAATCGACAAATAAATACATAATACATTTGTAATATCCCAATGAGTAGAAAAATTAGATTTTCTGATGTTTTGTGACTTAATGTAAGCCACTTCTTCAGAGAATAAATAACCAAATCAAAATCAATCCAAGTATAAATAGTACAACGGAACAACAAGAATTTTATGTGATCAATCAAAAAGCAGATCTGAATAAATCAATATCATGTCATTTGGGTCAAGGGGATTCATAAGCGACATTTATATATATTGTTCCGTTGTAATATTTAAACTTGGATTAATTTTGATTTGGTTATTTATTCTCTGAAGAATTGGCTTACATAAAGTCACGAAACTTCAGAAAATCTAATTTTTCTACTCATTGGGATATTACAAATATATTATTTATTTATAACAATCTACCCAATGCTTAATTTACTCGAAATTATCAAGTAAAACCTTGATAATCATATCTATAAACGCGATAAAGTTTATAGTTTTATTGAAACATCATAAAAATATGAAATATTGCGTAATTTTCTTTTTATGCCGATACGATACACTCAATTATCTGTTGAGATTGTTAAATTGGACAAAGATAACTAAATATTAGAATTTAGATATTTATGATGGATGGATTTTAGTAAATATTAATGGGAATATACTGTGGTGGATTCTTTGGCTTATTTCTATATTTTAGGTATATCATAGTTTTCTTAAATGTAGACTAGTTTAATTGTCAACTATTCCTTCCATGTTTTCATTTTACAAATCCTGAATAGCTAAAACAAGTGCATACGACAGATTTTTTTGTTTATATCTCTAGAGTTTCGTAGTTCATACTATGGAAAAATCAAAATTAGGTAACTATCAAAAAACCAGAAATAGTTGGACAACTGTTTCATCGTGTTACGGGACATTTTAGTATAGCTTATTCACAACCCCATCATGGTAGATTGAACCTAGGACTGTCAAACTTTATTCCATGAACTTAACATATAGACTACTGAAACAGTTTCCATACAGTTATTTACATTTCTCTCTTCGATTGATTCACAATGTCGCACATTCGTGTACTGATGCCTTTGGCAAGTAACTGTCTTACATAAGACATGGTTGGAATTTACAGGTCACAGTTCCTATGAGAACTAGTCACCAGTAAGTAAATCGTTACTGTTCATCCAGGAGGTTTGTGAATTTACTAGTTGAATTTGCTGAATGAAACGAGTTACTTGACATAAAATTCGTATCGCAAAATTTGTCTTAATGTCAATAAATAACTTAAAGCAATCCATAAAATTTTGAACAGTGATGCAACAACCCCGAATTGTAAAAAGATTAAAACAATATTAAATTACAATTTGAAAGCAAATCAATCCATGGAATAATACAAATAAAAGAGAGGTATTTCGATAAAAACAAATAGTATCACATGTCATGTAAAACATAAGGTGAATGTTATGTATAATACATTATCTAATTTATCATTTCTTTATTTGAAATATCTTACATCTTTATGTGACATTTCAGCAAACGTTTCTAAGGCAGATTCTAAATGTGCTTTCGTTTTTGTTATTAATAGTAGTAGGGTTGAAATAAAACGATATCGTCTTTTTAATTTAATGACTTTCAATTCCTACAGACAAATGTAAAACAAAAACAAAGTAAAATGTGCTAGAAATCATAGCACAAAACTGAAATTAAAAATAATAATATAATCAGAGTGGGGATTTGTGGAGATAGTGGTAATTTTGACAGTTAAATTCATGAGTCAATCTAAGCTGAACCACCATTGAAAACCTGGAAGCACTGGTCGCTCGTTTAATCCTAGTATTTGGCTATTCAACAGTACGAATCCATAATTCCGCACTTGAGACTCGAACCCATGACCCTGGATCTCGTGCGCGACCTCTTGACATCTAGACGACCGAGCCGGAATCCAACGGTTCCAGGTTTGACTCATCAACTCAACTGCTAAAATATTGTTATATTCTAGATTAATTTAAATAAAATTTAAAAATACTCAGTTCGACCATACTCATATAGATAAATTTTGTTTATTAAACAGGACTATTCATTGTTTGTCACTTCATGATTGATCCTTTACTAACATTTAGAACAAGCGTTGCATTTTCTTGTTAATCACTTTTCCGCATGTTCATCGTATATATATATATATATATATATATATATATATATATATATATCAATTGCTCAGTTGGTTTATTGACTAATATATATCTTTATTTAATAATTAAGAAAGAATAGCATTAATCAAATAACAAAAATAATGTTCTTTACTAGGACTATCGTCCGTTCAGTCGGTCACAATAAACGTAAAGCTTGACATAAACGTGCGTTAGCTCAAGTTGAAACACAAAATTGACATGATAAGATGAAATTAACAAGACGAATGTTGAAACGATCGAAATGATGTAGTAGCAGTAATAACAAAGAAGACTTAACATTGAGAATATGATTCCAAAAGACAGTAAAAAGTTCTGTATGACGAGAAACTAGGATTCATGAACTAGAGAAAAATAAAGATTGACTACGTCTGTGCCAGTGTGATGAATTTTTAGGCACATCACTCAACATCTCTAACCACTGGTAAAGGTTATGTCATTACCTCAACTTAATAAACGACTTAAACCACTCACTGTGCGTTATTTAAGATGATTAATTAAAAAATGTGAGTGGTAAATAGTTCGAAATTTAGTGACCAACTTTCCTTACCTTTAGTAAATGTTCAGCTGTTTCATAACCAATATTACAGTTTCTTGTTAACTCATCACCATAGTTAAAATCATTTGTATTATTTGAATTTTTATTATTGTTATTAATAGATTGTGTAAAAGGTTCAGTACCTAATAACTGATTATCTGGATTGATACATATTTCAACCATTCGGTATATTGCCATTTCTGTGTATTCAGGATCATTTCGGCATCGATTGAAATAACTTAAAGCAATAGATAATTCACTTGTGTAACTAGAAATAATAAATTGAAAAAATATAATTCCGAATTATAAATCTAATTAAACATAATATATTGCCAGATAAAAGTTAAAATGATAAGGTGTAATACGAAAGCTAAAGCTTTTACGTCTTGAAACCGAATTGACTATTTGGCACACCAAGATCCATAGGAGCAACTTTAAATCATGCCACTCACAACTTTTAACAATGTATTTCCGTGGTTTTAAAAGCACTTCAACCTTCAGAGTTACTGTGAACTTAAACTGTGCGTAAATCGAACAACTATAAATTGTACTTCTACTTTAGCTGTCATTTCATATTAGGGTCAGTGTAGTATTAGTTACATAAGACGGGTGATAGTTAAAAGAAATCGGCTGCTAAATATTTTAGTTGTTGTTTAGAACGTCAGAGTCATTTGTTCAATAATTTTTAATTTAAATCGAACGAAGTGTTATGGTTTCAAGATTGTTTGCGTGCTTCAAACAGATTAATTAAAAGTATAGATTTTGGACACTTCCTAATGGAAATTAGTAATGAAAGATATCTTTTTGAAAACTTTCTCTTCAATGAACCAACAAGAAATGCTGTTGAAAATCGCATTTCCATAGATTATTTGGGGATATATAAATATACTTAATGATGCTGAATCATTGTTTGTTCTCAGTGAATACACAACATAACACCAGTCAGTCAGTCAGTCAGTAACAACGAGTTGCCATACCACATTAGCACAGAGATTCAGTTATCGATTCAAATCCCATAGTGGTAGAGGTACTGAAAGTATAAGTAGAGATAGGGGACATTAAGGTTTGATGATGTTATTAAAGGAGTATAGTCCAGTTGAATAAATTGGGAAAGAAAATAAAGGACATGAAAAATTCAGAAGATTAGAGTTTGAGAGAACTCAAAGAGTGGATGCACCTGCGCCATTGCAAACGATTTTGAACCATGTCATTCAAGGTCTCTAACCAAATAATCACATTATTATTTAACATTTCATTTTATACAGTAAACCTGAATAACATTGTCATTCTGGCTCTTATTAATTTCGATGAAAGGCATAAAGTAACAAATTAGATATACTATTAACACAGAATATACTCAATTCATTTTAATTGTAAGTTGAGTGAAATTCCTAATTATGTCATGTTTGGTAATTATCTGTATCCATCGATTACTTATTGATTATTTGTTCTCAACTTATGCATTTAAAGGTTAAAATAGTACTTGTAATTAATTTAGTTCTTGTAAGATATGTCATTCAATCTGTGAAGGTCACATCATTCTTCAATAGTCTCTTGTATAAAGGTATTGAAGTGCATAGTAAAATGTGAGATTTCTGTTTGTTAGTTGTGATTATAGTATAGGCTTCAGATCCCTAGTCACGTATAAAACTTACTTGACACGTAATACAATTTCTTTAAGAAATAAAAAAAATATTTGATGCAGTATATATTACTCACAAATGGTAAATTCCATGACAGTAGTTCAAACCACATGAAACTTCAGCTTGAGAATCATATGATTTAGCTTTTTCTAAATATTCTGGAATACATGATAATGAACCACATCTTCTATAAGTATCAATCAAACTTGAAAGAGCTTCATAGTGACCTAAATCAGAAATAAATATATTTGAACACAAAATTACAGAATATCATAGGACCATAGAGTGAATACTTGATTTTCAAAATATCAGTCAATCATCTCAGACTACATTGTTCTTTCGTTTCCACACTAATCATTCTCTGTTCTCTATTCTATAAAGAAATGTGACTTTTTTAGAATAGTAAACCGACAACTACTTAGTATTGTAACAAAAAGCTTTCATCTTTACGAGATCACATTTTTATTATTGGAACATAATGACATCAATATGTACTTTAGTGATCCAATGTCACTAAACACAAATTATCTTTTTATATTAATTTCAATATAATTTACATATAACATTATAACTTACATGGATTTCTATGTAATACATATTCTAAGTGTTTATTTGCTATTTCAAAATCTCCTTTTATTATCATCAGTCTAGACATAAATATTGCAGACAATGGTATATTTGATATATAAGTTGATAGATAAATTGAATCATTTATGTTTTGTTGTTTTTGTTGTTGATGTTGTTTTTGTTTTTTCTGTTCTTCTTTTAATGACATAGAAGTAATTTTGACGGAATTCAAATCACTATTGACATTTTTTGTATTTTCATGAGTACAAACCATTTCAATTATTTCCTTTAAATTATTCAACCAAAAAAAAATTGAAAATACAACACATTTAGACAAGATCAATGAATAATTATGCCTTATTTATTTGCAAATAATAATAATTAGTTTAATAAAATAAAATGTGAAAGACAATTAAAGATTTTAATGTTAAGTTATAAAGGTCAAATAGTCTTCTTTCTTACAATAATGATACACTTTCGATGTAAACTGTAATGGTGTTTTATGTAATTATTGTAGTTTTCAAAAAAGAAAAAGAAAAATTAGATGATTACGTATACTTACAAAAGTAGTGTACAAATTAAATCCACATTACCTATATACTAGATAGTTGTTTTACTAACACATCGAATGGCCTGCTTGAATATCTGGGCTACCTGTTCCTGACATCTAGATATTTCAACAAGTTATCTGTTTTCCTGTTTGTTTTATAAAATCATTATGTCTATTAATTGGATAACCTATTCAGGTGAGTTTGTGAAAAGTTTACGACATTTTGCTGTATAAGTTATGAAGATTTACAATCGAAGACTTCGTGATGGCTGGCAATGTGCATTGAAATAAAATGAATATTGTTTAGATGTTGACTTCTGAAATGTTAATATCTAACTGGTGATCATTCAATATTTACGATCAATATCGATCAAGAAATAAGAAACGGAAATAGTTTGTGCTGAGAATTCTATATTGTACCAAAAATATAATATTGAATCAAGCTAATAACAGTAATAATATAATAATAATAAATTAATCGGAGATTCTTAATAGGGAAATTCGGTTAACGATGTTGATTTTCTTTCTTGAACCATTTTGAATTTAGCTGATGATAAGAACAACAATTAAATTGGTTACAATTATAAATATAATTTGTTTACATTCTAATGGTTCGTACACGTGTAATACGGGATAATTAAATCTATAAATTGATGAAAATGTAATGGGGTCAAGTTAAAATGTAGAGAAAAATAGTGTTTTTTTTGTCTCGCCTACATCGATAATGATATTTCATGGTAATTGTAATGAACGGTTGATAACTAATTATGTTATTCGATAGAATATTTACTCGAAAATGATTATTCGATAATAATAAGTTCGAAGTGATAAGGAATTCTTATGTAAAATTACTTTCGTGAGAAATATAACCACATGGTCATTAATTGATTCGCAACTGTATAAGCCCAATTTAATAAGTTGTTTTGAAAACAGTCAATTATATAGCCATAAAAGGACATCCCAATCCTAATGATTAAAGTTGGAAACAAAGAAGAATAGTAAGTTTAATCAGAATGAAGTCGGGAAAACTAAAGAAGTCATAAACAGCAAGAATTAGTCACACAACACCACAGACATTTTGACGTACCTGTTTGTTGAAATAAACAGTTAAGTAATGCAGAGTATATCAGGCTTTAATACATGATTTACTGTTGAAATTTATTTCTGAACGATTATGTATATGCATATTTACTAAAAAACTTCCCGGATTATTTTAGATGCCTAAATCCTATTTTGAATAAAACTTTAGTTGGAGAAACAGTAAGTAACAGATTATTAAACAAATACTTCTATTTTGATTCACTTGGTGTTGTTTGCTTCTATCATCCCATTATTGTTTAGGACTGTAATTGTTCAGTCACTTGTTGGCATATGTCCATCCTGTGCGGATTGCCTCAGATTAGCCTTAAGTCACAAGCTCTTTAAGCGAAGATGGATAGTGGCTAGCAGTGGAATCCAGGATGCTCAACAGTTCGCCCCATTAGGGACTCGTCGGTTGAATGAACCTGTATAGTTGATGTTCACTTCAGGACTTGAGTCCTGATGGCCACCTGCTTTGCTTACTAAGCTTGTGACTTGAGGCAATATCAAAGCAATCCGCACAGGATGCCTATATACCAACGATAGACTGATCATTTGTAGTCCTAAATAACAATTGGATGATTCAAGCAGACAACACCAAATGAATTTAAACTTCACCCCCATTGCACAAGCAGGTGGCTATCAAGACTCAGTAGCTATGTGGAAAATGCAATGGCGTTTATAGCGTCCTGGAATCCACTACTAGCCACCATCCATTTCTGTTTATAATACTTCTGTTTGGTTTTCAAAATCTTCAGATATGCTAATCCACCAGCCTTAAACAGTGCTATATATTAACTTATAGGGTTTCACGGTAAATAATATACATTTATACTGCTAAATCGGACCACGATGAACTTTGTCTTCAAATTCGGCTGTAGTCATAGCCGATCCGGTCACACTATATTCTTATGTGCACATGCTAGATCAAGGCTAAACTATAGGAGAGTTTTGTTTTTAGATGACCGTTATTGGCTGGAATTAGGCTTGATTATCCATTATATATATATATATATATATATATATATATATATATATATATATATATATATATATATATGCACTTGGAATCGATCAGTTAATATGGTTTCTACTGATTTCCTATCTTCTCACTTTAGCAGTAAACTGGATTCGTCCTATAGAAGGCGTTTATGTGTCAGAATTTATTGATAGCCCAATATAATATTTGTAGTTTATCACCAATCCTCATTCAATTACATTAATGAACCAATATTTTAATTCCGATTCGGTGAATTTTGGAGATTTGTCAGCATTGGTTGGGATAAAACGGTCTACTTCTCGTTATCCTTTTCAACTCATTTAATTTAATCATTGAAAAACGTCTGAGTAATATACGAGGATGATGCTAAATTTAGATGATTAATTTTTGTTTGAAAATTATCTTGATAGTTTAATAGCTACAATTAGCAATTTAGTAAAATTGTTTTACTATAATATTTTAAACACTGCAATTAGAAGAAATTTGTTTGAAAACTATTTGAATGAAAATTGAATAGGTAATTTTCTATAGTCGACAAGAATCTATCATCATATTACTGACTCAACTTAAAGCTATCACAACTCAGTATCATAAAAATCTTACGTAATGCTTCTGAAGACTTTTCTTTGGATTTCATACAAATAGTTTCCTTATTATTTGCACTGATATTTGCAAGAAACATTTTTTAATAATACGAATTTGGTTAGATAGTTTTATGTATACTAAAATTCCGAAACAATAAATCGATGAAGATGGATAATACTTAGCAGTGGAATCCAGGACGCACGTTTCGTAATATTAGGGACTCGTCAGATGGATGTACATGCATCCCAGAGTTAATGTTCACCCCGGAACCCGAACCCAGTACCGTTCGCTTCAGACGCCATCGCGTTTTCCACATAGCTACTGAGTCCTGATAACTACCTCTTCGTGCAATGGGGTAGAGTTTAAATTCACTTGCTGTTGCTTTGCTTGTATCTTTCCATTGTTATTTAGGACTACAAATGATCAGTCTATCGTTGGCATATAGGCATCCTGTGCGGATTGCCTCGATATTGCCTTAGATCACAAGGTTTAATAGGAGGAAATGCACATCTTGCATTCCACTGCTAGCCACTACCCATCTTGGCTTAAAAAGCTTGTGACTTAAGGCTAAACTGAAGCAATCGGTACAGGATGCACATGTGCCAACAAGTGACTGATCAATTGCAGTTCTAAATAATAATGCGGAGATATAAGTAAAACAACACTAAGTGAAATAAATTAGTGACATAAAAAAGTCTAATTTTTGCGTACTTGCATACTAATAAGGGATAACGTAAAAATTCAGAAAGTAATGTGTTATCCAACAGCTTGTATATGTAAATGTAATAAAGAAACACACAGACAGGAATACCAATTTATTGTTGAATGCAAAATTACATTAATACATTATGTTCACATCTTTTATCAGTTGTCTCTAACAAACTCCATCGTCCCTTCATTCCTGTTGTTACTACAATTACTCTTTATTTACGTTCCTGCTGTCTTCAATTCGATCTTCCCAATCTTTGCTGACAGACATCTCACTTCTGGTTAGCATTACATCCTACTTATATCTGTCAACATAAGTAGTATACATCACTCAAATAACAACAGAGATTTCAAAATAAACACAAGTATTTCTATTTTAACGATTATTCCACAGTTTATATAAATTTCTAAACACTACTTACTATGATTATACCTTTATATTACAGATCATATTTATATGATTTCACGAAAACATGTAAATTTCTGCAAGGATATGAGAAATTACAAAAAACCACACCATAGTAAAAATAACATATATCTCTCTCCCTATCTAGGGTAGCATTTCAACAGTTACAAAGTTTCACCCAATTTAGAAAGTATGTAAACGTCTATAACCCAATGAAAAAAAACTAATGTATATACATTCTATGATATTTATTCGTTATTTTTAGTAATATATTTTTTAAAACTTCTTTGATTCATATTCATTCATACAGCTATGTTCAAATTAAGACATTGAACAAAAATACTTTTGTATTTGTTTGTTTTAATTAAGCCCTACATATTTTTTAAGGAAAAAAAAACGGATCACAATAGGATAATGGAATAAATGAATTGTTAATTATGCTACAAAGTTTCCGTTTTTATCATAATTAAGATAAATTAAGATAAAATCGGATAGATCCATGTAGAAATCCCTTGAATACTTTCAGTTAATTATACTATTTCTTACTTTTTTCTCCAATGTTGTTTGTTGTTGCCAGGTAATACATTTTTTAAAAATTTAATTAAAGTATTTCATTTAGTAATGCTATATGGTATTTGATTCATTAATGTTAAGGTAAGTATACTGTAAGACATTTAAACTGTTCAAATGATGTCTGAAATTTTCCATACAAATTTTCTTTATTTTATTTAACAATTTGAATGAATATAAATTTAAATGGTTCGAGGTTAAATCTGTTTTAACTGTCTAAGTCACATATTATTCTCTGTTTTTAAAATTAGCTGAAAGCAAACTATGAATAAAAATGCTTCTTTTTTCAAGATAATAAGTAATATAAACGATTAAATTTGACAAATACTAAACAAAGAATATCCTCTAACATAAAATCAACTCATATATGAGAATATCTTAATACAAGTTTAGTTATATAGATTCTGATATGCAGAAATATTTCTTACTGGATATGTTCCAGTTAAACATGAATGTTGCCATGTCAAAAAAACAAACAAATTATTTAGACACAATTTATGTAGTATGGTAATTCATATGTAGATCGTTTGATTTAATAGATAACAGTATATACATTTAATTTTCAAATTTCATACAAATTAAAGTCAATTCAGTTGAAACATGATAAACATAACTATATGACGTAATAAACAAAGTTTATTTGGTTGAGGTCATGAACCGATTGATGTTAGACAACCATTGAAAACCTGGAAGTACTATACAACCATTTTGTCCTACTGTGGGACTCCTCAGCATTTAAAGTATATTGTTAACAAATAAAGGAACCATCAATGTTTCAAGCTAAAATGTTAATTCAATGATAAAAATCAACATTGTTAATGAAGTTTCCATGATACAAAACAACGAAACAGACAAACAACAAAAGATTTTATCGTAATATCAATAAGTTTAATATAATGTCAGTCAAAATATACACTCCGATTAGAAGTTTATATATATATATATATATATGAAGAAATCAAATCAACTAGCATTTATGATATTACCTTGATCGTTTACATTCTCTTTACAATCCTTTCCTACCTTCCTCTTACCCTTTTAATATGTATATCACACATATCAGTATTTCTCTTTGGAACAATCAAAAACTGATTTTTTTTATTATTTCCATTTCTATATTTCGCATACTAATAAAATATTTTCTTTGTTTTATTCACTCACTTTCATTCAATGAATTTTTTCGTTTCCTATCCTTCTTAATTCAACTTATCCCTATATGAATTTTTTTCTTTAACCATATTATTTAATGTGTTTTCAATACAGTGTGCCCACTAAAGGAATTCATTCTGACAGATAACCTAAAGGATGATAATAGTTTAAAAAAAGAAGTTAATGGAAAATGGGAATCAACGTATATATATATATATATATATATATATATATATATATATATATATATATATATATATATACGTTGAAAATATGCACTATTCCCAATATAACTGATATGACAAGAAAAAGAAATATATTGGATATTCCTATCTTCAATTGAATGTCACATATTGTACTTTTTCGCACCAATTTAAAAAGATACAGGGAAAAGGAATTTCTGTAAAAATAAAAAAAAACATTCAGAATAAACAAAACAAAAGGGTGATGTTTTGTTTGTTTGCTTTTTTTTTTCATTTTACCTGTAACTGTGCTAATTTCAATATTTCTTGTTCACAATTTACATAATCCGTTGTATACAAATATAAATTGATTAATTGAACAATAGATTTAGCTTGAATATTTATAGCTGATATTTTTACATCATTTAATTGAATTTCATATAGTGAATTAGTAAAATTTAAATTTGGATCATTTCCTTGTTGAATAGATGATGATAATTTGAGTTCAATAATACTGGATACATGTTTAATAGCATCTTCACACAGATTTATAATTGTAGTTAAATATTGTGATAAATTAATGTTTAATGTATTGTTAGAATCAATCATTGTTTGAATGTTTGAATCATTTTTAAAACGATTTGGATTAAAATAATCACCGTATTGAGCTTGAATATTTAAGAAATATACTGATGCTAATTGTAGAAGAACCCTAGAATAATAATAAAGAGTGGAAAATTTTATTAGTTTAGCATTCGAAGAACAGAAAAACAACAAAGTTTGTATCATAAACAAGATCACTGAATCAGACTTCTTACTTTAAAATGGGCTAGTATTAACTGGTTAGTCAAGCCGGCATTATTTCTATCAAAATTCAAAGAAGAAACATATTAATAATGATTAAATCAGCGAAATAAGAAAGACAGAAAACAGATACTGATAATTATAATGTGCTCAATAGTGACTAACGTTGAGAGGTAATTCTCGAAGTTCCAGTAAGAAGCCGTGATCAGTAGAGTCAAACCGTATAGGCTGTGAGGCAGTCACCCATCGAAAACAATGGAAGATGGCCATGCAATATCGTGGATTGGCTTAAGTTAGACGTTGACACCATTGGATGCCGGTTAAGTGGTCAAGAAGTCCTGGGTTGGTGTCTTGAGTGCTAAATCGTGAACGCGCACTACTGCGGAGTTTACTATTAGACGAAACGATCATTCAGTGCTTCCAGGTTTCCATTGGCAGTCTAACACTGATCTATTCATGATCTCAGTTTATACTGAAGAATATGACAATTATTTATCAGCGCACCTTCTTTTGTACTTATATAAAAAATGTTAACAAATTGAGGAGGATGATGAACAAAACGGAGAATCTAATGTCCATAAGATTCTATCAACTTAAGTCTAATAAAATTTAGTTGAAGGTCATACCATTATGTATATACTTCATATCAGTAACTAATTGGTCAATTTTCTAATATTATGTCAAATTAATTAGAATGCTGTCAATATGCTGACCTTCATCGAAATCACTAATCGATTTAAGTCGCTCCGCCATATAAAACTTGGAAGCACTGAACAACAGTTCCGCCCTAGTACGGGACTCCCCATTAGTGGACACCCATTATCCCGCAACCGGTAATCGAACCAAGTTTACAATCTTTTTTGGTCTCTATATGTTCGTCTATTATTAAATCACATTTTAAATGGAACTGGGAATTTCTATTTTATGAATTACCCGATAGTATTATCTATTCTTCGGATTCACATTATCTTCCATTACCATATCTAATAAACTTTTAAAACTTTTTCCTATACTATGTTAATTTAATCAACATTAGCTTCTGAAAAGTAACCTAATGATCTCTTTTACAATATTATCTAGGTGATAACAATGAACTTATGTTATTCTCTGTTACCTGTCTATTATATATAGCAATATTTCAGTGACAGAATAAAATATATGAAACAAATCTTTAGTAAGTCATATACGATGATAAAATTTGTTGATACATTTAATTAGATGTACGTTATATATACATGCCGGTAAGTAGGCAGCATGGTTGCTATGTCGGTTGTCTGAAGGAAACACCTTACTGCCGTCACACCTTTGTACAGTAAGACTTCGTCCTCAGAACTTGGGTTTGCTGTCTTTCGTCCTACCGCTCTACAACCGACCTGTCTGGCATGGTAGGACCTTGAGGAACGATTGTTTCAGCCAATATAGCTCGATTGGTTTATCATGATAGGAAAGTCCGACCACCACGTCAAGGTAGCAGCAACGACCGAGACTTGCTCATTAAGCATTAAACATATTTTTCCGGTAGCTCAATCAATCATATTTAGTTATCAAATCCTTTTATTTAGTTTTTTGACATGCATCTAAGTTATTTTGCTAAAATCAATCTAAACAATAGACTTTATTCCTATCATTCAAATATCACAGTGTCAATAAATTAGGCACGTGGCAAATATTTAAAAGTAAAGCCTTTGAAAGTTTTTAATCCCCAGAACTTATATTTCAAAGCAATTGAAGGTTACAAAATAATAGAATGTAAAAATCTTGATCTTAAAATGAATAAATAATTTTCTTTGATAGTTTATCTACTTTTTAAAAAATGCACATAATTTTATAAATCAACTTACTCTGACATATTGATCTTTTGTTCATTCACCACATCTTCAACTTCACTAGTTTGTATACGCTTAAGTAGTCTTGCTTGAATTGACTTCAGACTATTTAAAGAATCAATTCGTTCAAGAAGTTTATCATCTTCAATTGTTTGTAATTTGACCAATAATTTTAATGCATGACATAGTTCTTGTAATTCGTTAATATCGGAGGCTTTTCAAAAAATTATATTGTAAAAAGAATAGGTAAGAAGTGTGACTGAACGTTCTTGGTGAACTAAATAAATGAATTTAACTACTTTGTAAATAATATAGAAAAAGAACAAATACTTTTTTTCATTTTTTTATTTCATGGATAGATTTAATTGATAATTCAATAGAATAGGGAAGGACATAAGATAAAGTGAATTCTATGACATTGAATTATCTTGTGAAAACTTCTCGTAATTAGAAGATATTTTTCAGTACAAACTGATATCGACGGATGAATCATTCGAAACCAAAAATAACCGGATATCTGATTCTTCTTAATATATCAGTTCTTATAAGTTCTCACCAGGACTACTATACGTAATTAAACCTAATATCTTTGGGTTTCAAACTAAAACCGAGCATGTTTGAGACTTTTTGAATCCGACTTTAACCCAGTATAATCGGAATTCATTCTATTAAACATTGGAATTTAGATCATCATTATCATTATTATCAGAGAGAGGTTTTGCGTTTATTATAGCATTTTAATAGTTGAATTCATGGTTGAAGTTAGACATTAACACCATTCGATGCTGACTCAGTAGTCTAGAGGTCAAGAGTTCGTGCACGAGACCAAGGGCGCTGGGTTCGAATCTCAAGAGGTGGGATCGTGGATGAAGACTGCTGAGGAGTCCCATACTAAAACGAAACGACTATCTAGTGCTTGCATGATGGTCTAGCTTCAATCATTATTACCGTAATCAACTTCTTTTTTAAAAAAAAATGAATTGGTGAACTGAGATGATAAAAAAATATTCAAACAAAAAAATAATAAATAGCGATCTCATACCGACTAATGGACACTATATTAAGAGTTCGACTCTTGAGATAAGCTTATATTTTACACTTACCATTATTTGTTTGTCACAACTATATGGTACATGATTGTTAGGCTGAATTCAAAATATTAGCTTTGATGGAATCAAGTTCGAGATCTGATAACACTATCAGAACGCAAAATAGGGCGTTTAAAAAATTCCATATAAATAAATGAGGTATTACATAAATGAATCAAACGTATATACATTCACCTTACTTCATACAACTAATTAACTAGTAATACAAAGACTCAAAGATTGAATGTTTTATTACGAAAACAAGTGATAATATGTGCTAAAAGAAGAATCAAAATACATTTACAAATATTTGAAAAATGAATATACACATCAACAACAACAAAATGTTTTATAATGTGACTGAAGCACAACTAAATGTGCACAACCAATAATGATTTCAAAATATATCACTTACAGCTCTCAAAAATCTATCTTCACTTATCCAGTGAACCTTATCTTGTTCATGTTTCCGTAGTTAAGAATAACTGCCCTCAAAACTACGCGGAAAGTTACTAACTTTAGATCTGATTAATATACAGTTGCATATATTCAATTAATACTAGTATTGTTAAAGGAATAAGGATCGTCGTGATCAGTAAAGGTCGAAAACATATCGGAAACACAATGCATCAATTTGTATGTGTTTAGCGACGATTTTATATGGATTAAAGAAAACTAAAATAATTGAATTACATCTTAAACATGAATATATATATCTATGGAAGATCGATGCCGAAATAACTGTACAAATCTACTTATCACGTTTCAGTCTCTATTTAAAATCGTTATGTTGTGTGAGGTGAAATGCAAGTTATTTGATCATAATATTTGACTATCAGTTCATTTTTAAATTGTACCAAGAGCAAAAGATTAAAACGAACGACAGATATCACATTTCCCATAGTTTCTAAGAGATTTTCAAAGTCAACGCTGTATAGTTACAATGAAAAGGACCAATATTATGAACGAGGTAATACAAAATACACTTGAATAAGCATATGCACAAAAATTATCTTTAAAAATGTGACATTTTATCACGAACGTTTGACTGACATTACATAATCTATTTATTGGTGTTCCATCAACTTCGTAACCAAAATAGTTTAAAATCATGTAATTCACTAGTAAACTTGATTCAGTTAGGCGAAAACAGAAAGATGAAAAACCATAATGACTATTATGGTAAGTCGTAAAAGACTGCAAGTTATGGGTGCCGTGTAACAAACACTTAGTTGATGAGTTTAAATACAAGATGAAATTTAAATCAGAATAAAGTAGTGCACTGATGCAGATGTTTGAACTAGAAATATTATTTTGAATATCAATGTTTGTTTCCACTGACCATGAATGAAAATACACATTTAATTTGAGATTTTTTGTTGTTCTTCTTAAAAACTGATGAAGGGATAGACTGACACTTTAACAATAAAACTAAAAATATATCCGGAATTAATGCTTAGAACAAAACGCCTTGAAATCAGTAGGCATAAGATTTACAAAATTGAAGCACTTTGAATGCAGTATACTTTTTGTTTCATCAAAAGCATAGTTTTAGTCATTTATAAACCTAACTAGTTATAGTTTCCTCGTTTATTGTTATTTTCTTAAGAAACTACTTAAAGTAATCTTCTCATTAGGAAAAAAATTAGTCGTTGTCAAAATACCTTAGTGGTTGAGTCACTGACTATGACATATGGAGAAATGTTATTCCCCTGAAAGTTGCTGATAAGTCCTCCCATCATAAAACTCACGTTAATGACAAACTAGGTTTAACTACTTATTATATATCTGCAGAAAAATAAAGTTATATACTGAGTAGTAAATATATAAACAAATCATAAACTTTATCTTATAAAATGTATAGTTAAATAATCGACTTCTTAAAACTGCTAATCGAATTTGAATTATTTATGGAAAAAATAGACAATACACATATTTTAATGTATAATAACTTTCAGTTCATCTTACCAGACTGCATAATTTCATCAGTCAACATAGAATGAAGTAAACGTTTAGCCTTTTTATATTGTTTCATATTGATGAGTAAATCGGCTAAATCTAATCGTAAACCATTTTGACCAGTTTTCACTGCAGTCTCATAATAAGATATAGCTTTAGCATAATGATGTAATTTTACAAATGCATGACCAATTTTACTGGCTAAACGTAAATCATTAGGATTTTTACGTAGAATAGATTCATAAATTTTAATTGCATTTTCAGGTTCTTGAATATTCATATAAGCTTCACCTAACAGAAAATAAGCTTCATTTGTTTCTAATTTTTCAGCTAATTCTCTATTAAACAAAAGTACAAAAGTGTTTGAAAAATGATGTTATTCGATCTACATGAACATATTTTTTGTTACATGGCAAAATAAAAATTTATAATCTAAAAACTTCACTTCACTTGGAATTTTTTCATGGTTGAAAGGAAAGCAAAATTAACTTATTTTGTATGCATAGATAATTCTATTATTTCAATAAAATACCATAGATTTCAAATTGTTTATTTTTTCTATACCAATCAAATAACACTTGGTGGCAAAACTCTGGAAGATGTAGAATCCTTCATGTACATGGAAGGCATCATCGATGAACAAGAAGGATCAGATGCAGACGTACAGGCGAGGATTGAAAAAGCAAGGACAACATTCCTACGACTGAAGAACATATGCAACGCAAAACAACTTTCAACCAATATCAGAGTCAGAATCTTCAATACCAACGTCAAGGCAGTTCTACCGTACGGAGCTGAAACGTGAAGAACTACAACAACCATCATCAAGAAGATACAAGTATTTATCAATACCTGTCTACGCAAAATACTCAACATCCATTGGCCGGATACCATCAGCTACAGTATTCTGTGAGAGAGAACAAACCAGCTTCCAGCTGAAGAGAAAATTAGGAAAAGACGATGGAAATGGATAGGACATGCATTATGCAAATCATCAAACTGCATCACGAGACAAGCGTCAACTTGGAATCTTGAAGGGAAAAGAAGAGGGCCAAAGAACACATTACGTCGGGAAGTAGAAGCGGATATGAAAAGGATGAATAACAACTGGAAAGAGCTGGAAAGGATTGCCCAGGACAGGGTTGAATGGAGAATGCTGGTGAGCGGCCTATGCTCCTCCATGAGGAGCAGCAGTAAGCAAGTAAGTAGTACAATACTAAATTACTTTTAAAAAGAATTCCAATTTCATTCTTTAGTTATGTCGATAATCATAATAAATTCAGTTATAGCTTTAAAAAAACCTGTATGCTGTTGAATGACCCAATTCAAGAAATGGCTTTTAAAAATTGATATTTAAAAGTATATATCAACATAAAGGTCAACTGAATAGATATCGGTACACCTCAGAAATTTTCATTTCTTAACCTTTAATTAAAGAAAAAAAATTTTCTTCTCTTCATTGATAACCAAAGTTGAATTTTGAAAAAATAGGATAATGATATAAAAATATTCATCTCGAATTGAAATTTATTGAGAATTAAGATCTTTTTTAAATATTTCTCAGTACAGGGTTGAATGGAGAGTGCTGATGGGTGAACTATGCTCCTCCACGAGGGGTAACAGGCGTATGTAAGTACGTAAGTAAGTCAGTTTTTAAATATTGTGTAGGATGGTACCTCACAGTAAATTATACCGTGGTAAAAACCATATTATTTACTAAATGAGTTTATGAGAATCAATCCAAATATGAAGATAAAATTTTCATTGAGGACCAACATCATTTAGAAAAAATCTGATAACAGAGAGTACTGGACGGGTAAGAGTTGGTTATATGTCCCAGACTATAACAAAACTGTCAAACTCCCTCCAGTTTCCAGTAGTTCTTCCTGAAAGTCATATTTTTTAAGAACATCTTATTAAACTTTGATAGCATTTTCTTTAACCAAGTGGAGTTCAGTTGATGGGAAAGTAACGAGTATAAAATTCAAAGCAACCTAATCATATAATATTATTCCTTTTTCTGTTTAGGCTTATAAAAACTAACACATGTTTACCATTCATAATGTTTGATTATGTATCAAAAATTTACCGATTTCCTATATTAGTAATTATTATTAACATTCTAATTATAATTTATAACGGTATCAAAATTAGAAGTAAACGTGACCTCATATTATTTCTTTAGGATGCTGAAACTTGTTTGACATGGAATGCAAACAAAATCCATCTTTCTGTATAATGCCCTCCTTGAATTTAGGTTTCACAAGAATTGAGTGTAAAATCCCATTATCTATCACTGTTGATATTTAAATAATGATAAACCCCAAAATGCAGAGTGATAAATCCTAACATCAGAATTTATTTAACAAAAATGACTTGAATAATTCTGTAAAACCCATCATTCCAAACAGTTTTAGGTGGTTAAAGATAATCAGCAGAAAACTATGGACCTGAGTTTTGTGTTAGTTGACATTTTTCAATGAAATTTTCTTGGAGAAACCGTAGATCTGATCCCTGGTAGCCCAGTTTTCCAGCCTGAGACGTTACCACTGAGCTACTTTCTACATACAATTTGTATTACAAAGAGCGTAAATACGTAAAACATTCAGAAAAAATTTAAAATCAGATACAAAACGCAACACTGATTGTATTTCACAGTACCTGTAACAAGCAGTATATAACTTCTTTTCTTTTCTATGATATAAATAAATATTGGCCATATGTTGTCGTGCAGTTATATAGTATGGATGGTCAGCTTGAATTTGTCTTAAAGTATTTAGAGCTGTTTCGTGGTCATTTTGTGCCAGAGCTAAATTAGCCATAGCTATTGTAACTCGTGCAACTTCCACAGTACCAGCAAATGTTAAATAAGCATCTTGCAAGACTTTTGTAGCTTCATGCTAAGATTATGAAAAATAAAAAAGAATTTCAAGACTCGTAATAACTCGTTTAAGATTTAAAAAGTGAAAATCTTGATATTATATTCTGACTCTTTTTATTAGTAGTATACTGCAATTACGACTATGTCTAATGCTCTTGAAAATTGAGCATAAAAATGTCCAAATAAACTTCTGGAAGTAGAAAAGTATACAAAACTGGTTAAAGCTGAGAGGGATCAGTGGAATGAGTAGGTAAATTCGAAACAGGAGTGTTTTTGCGAGAGCAAATTTGTGCATGAATCAAGAAAATGTAATATTTTTATTTTGAATTTTAAAAAACTGAATAGATTTGTCCCTAATGCACATAACTCAGAATATTTCACTAATGACATTTTCAGACTGATGTATCAAGCGATCAATATGGAAAACTCTACATAGCTCAAACAAGAGTCATGAGTTAACTGATCAACTCACAAAGCATCGTATTCTAATTTGTACTTAAGCCGAAGTCAAATCTCACCGTGGGTAGTAATCTGGTAACTATATCATTTTATGACGGTTTCAATTATAGAACATTTTTTTCATCTAACAGTTTACCATAACATCTCAGAAGTTTGTGAAATAGATGTTGAATGTTTACAAATACTTTATTTCGTTTGATAAACAACTGTTATGCAAAAACTTAACTACAAGTGCACTACAGATTTGAATCATGTGGATAAATGGGTATTTTTAAAGACTGAGTTAAAGGATTTTACTTCCTAGTATTCTTACAAATGCTTTGGAATTAGTATGTCTCAAGATTTAGCGTATCTATTAAGATGTTGGATGGTCTCATATCATTTTACGAATAAATTGAAGTCAGAGATGTGGACTACTGGATTCCAATTCAAGTAGCAGGCACCCTGAAAGACCTTGGGGTCCTGAGTACAATCACTGTCAGAGATGTTCCAAACTAAGTTGAAACGGGTATTAACTGCTTTTCTGGTTTTCAGTAGTCCTCCATCTGAAATCAGTTTTTGACTTGAACTTCTTGATTGAGGTCATTTGAAGGTTAAACTGTTTTACTTTATTGTGTTAAAAAATTATTTTGCAGTATATAAGTACCGAAAACTCTATAAAACATTAACAGAACTTTCACGATACTAATCAAGCCTTAAAATGTTTACAGTGTCTTCCTAAATAACAAAGCTTAATTCCAAAAATTCATAAGGGAAACAATGTATCACTAAAAACAAAATCAACTGGTAATATTCAAACAAAATCAAACATGAAGAGCAGTTGTCTCTTACAATAAACTGACCAAAAACAGTGTTCTGATTTCAGTCTGAGAATGTCATAAGACATTTAAAGGAGGTATGAAAAGTTTATATTGTTTTAAACCTATTTATTTGAACCAGTGACACCCATTAATGTCGTTGAAGCATTTTGCGTGTATTGCGGAACGATCAAGTGATCAATGTTGAGGTTAGGCATAAGGTGTATTGCCTGAGTAATTTGAAGCATGTGTCAAGTTTGTCTAACAATTATTTATCTCAATGGACTATTTTAGTAAGTGGAGGAATAAGCTGATTATTGGTCTGAGGAGAGTGAATATGTGAAGACTCTCTGACTGGAGTATATGATATCCGCGATCTTTGGTTAGAGACATTGTATGGCACAGCTCGGTAACAATGGCATTGACGCTTTCACTGTTTATCTTCGCTAGATCGTGAACTACGGCAGATGCCTTTCCATACTGTCTTTTAGAATCATTTTTTCAATGTTTGGTCTTTTTTATCGTTGTTGCTACAAAGTTATTTTAGTTTTTTTACTATTCATCTTGTTAACTTCATCCCATTATGCTCTTGTCGTATGGCAACTTATGTTAACCCTTGTTTGCTCCCGGTTTTGTATTGTTAGTTATTAAATGACACCATGTCAACCGAATCATACCATATAAACTATCAGGAGAGTAAAACCAACTGAAAACTCACCGGGTCTAACCGTCTCTAACGTGCTATATTTTTAAAAAAAAACAATAATCTTACTTGTTCTCCTAAAGTTCTATGTGCGTCAGCAAGTTCAATGTATAATGAAAGTTTGTCAGATGGCATTATATCATTAAATGAATAATTAAAACTATTAGATTTTGAAGATTGTGAATAATTTGAAAGATTTGCAATTGCTTGTTTTAATATTTGCACTGATATTTTAGCTGAACCTTGTTCACTCATTATACGTGCTCGAACAAGTTGATATAATGGATGATTACGTACTTCAAAATTATTTCCAACACCAGTTTCCAAGGTTTGTTCAGCAGCTTTCAAATTTGACATATAAAGATGGATCTGTGAAAATAAAAATCGCTAACATAAATTGAATCAAATTAAAATATCAGAAGGGGTTTTGTGGATATTATAGTAATTTTAATGGTCGAGATCATGAGTCAGTTGAAGCTAGACCACCATGAAAAACCTGGATGTAAAGGATGTGTCGCTCAATTTCCTAATCTAGTTAAAGTTAGACATTAACACCGTTGGATGCGGGCTCAGAAGTTAAGCGCTCTTACGCGAAACTGATAGGTCCTGGGTTCGAATCTCGCGAGGCAGAATAGTGGATGCCTTCTGAATTCCTTCAATTAAAGAACATATGCAACGCAAAACAACTTTCAACCAATATCAGAGTCAGAATCTTCAATACCAACGTCAAGGCAGTTCTACCGTACGGAGCTGAAACGTGAAGAACTACAACAACCATCATCAAGAAGATACAAGTATTTATCAATACCTGTCTACGCAAAATACTCAACATCCATTGGCCGGATACCATCAGCTACAGTATTCTGTGAGAGAGAACAAACCAGCTTCCAGCTGAAGAGAAAATTAGGAAAAGACGATGGAAATGGATAGGACATGCATTATGCAAATCATCAAACTGCATCACGAGACAAGCGTCAACTTGGAATCTTGAAGGGAAAAGAAGAGGGCCAAAGAACACATTACGTCGGGAAGTAGAAGCGGATATGAAAAGGATGAATAACAACTGGAAAGAGCTGGAAAGGATTGCCCAGGACAGGGTTGAATGGAGAATGCTGGTGAGCGGCCTATGCTCCTTCGCAAGGAGTAAAAGGGGTAAGTAAGTAAGTAACTGCCGAAAAGTCCCACAATAGGACGAAACGACCATTCAGTGATTCCAGGTATTCCATGGAGGTCTCGAAATCTTAACCATTAAAATTGAATTATGTCCTTGAAAGTTAACTAATATAAAATTTTCAGTATTTATTTCGATATTGGTTTATGAACAAGTTAAGTGAAGAATAAAATGAATATATTACATTATCATTGCTTAGCTAATTGACTTTACTGTACAATTTCATGGCTAGATTTTAAACAGCATGACATTGGTCAGTTTTCAACAGCTATCCTTATTCATGGAAATGGAATTGAAGGAAATTCAGAAGATTAGAATATGACATTCACATTTACTTATTGGGTCAAATGTTTTATAAGTGATAGAATGGTGAAAGTCATAATAGATCTGTATTTGTCAGTAAACTTTTTTTTTCAAAAAGCCATATTTACTCAAGAAGTTTCAAGAAAGTAACCAAGCAAAATGAGAAAAATGGCCTATAAAATGTAGTAATTTAGGTGACTATTTTAAACACGAAAGTTTATGAGATTATTCCTGTCAATAAATAACCCGATTATTTTATGAAAAGCAATACAATTGCAGAAGTGTATACTCAGATCCACATTACCTTATCGACTAATTTATTTGAGAATAATGTCTATTTCTGAAACGGTAAAAAATTATTCGGTTGAAACATCAATATATATATCAAAATAATTTATGAAAATAATTCTTAAAAGTCTAACTTGAATGTTAGGGTAGAATATTTTTTTCTACTTACAGAGTAGACCGATTGGTGAGAAGGGATCTGAATAAAAAAAGGACTTGCATATGAATATATAAACTTAATCACAGTTCCATGACACTAGAGTAGGAAGGAACTGGGGTAAGGACACTTCGTTATATAATAATACCTTTATTGTCTGTCAAGTAACTGATATCATGGGATGTTCAAAAATAAGTACATCCTAACAAAATCAAACAAAAGGTTGTTTTAAATGATAGCAACAAATCGCTACTTATAAGCAGGCAATTTTATAAAAGTGCATCGAACGAAGTATCATTCAGAAGTTATACGGAGCAATTAAAAGAATGTTCAATACAGTGATAACACGACTTTACTATGCATTTGGTTGTAACGATGAGACTGGGAAAAAATATTTAGACCACATGCTACTATTTGTATTTATTAACTTAACTGTTCCTATGATCTCCTAGGAATTGATTTTTCCATACCCATGGATACTTTATAAATAGCTAGACAAAATTGTAGCTACAGTCCAAGTAATTCAATCTTAAATGTATTTACCTTAAACCTGGCTATTCATTATAATAGCTTGATTATCTAACTACAGAGAGTAATGAAAATTTATTGAAAATAATATTCTTTGTTAATGGATCTGTTTACCTTAATAAAATGAGCATTTACAAATAATACATGTCTTGTAAAAGAATAAACAGGTTAGACTTTAAACGATAAATTGTAGTTACTGAAAGATTTTTTAATAATCTTGCTGTTCAAAGTGGAATTACGAAAAATCGCCATCCCATTCTACACGTATACACAACACCTACGCAAATTGGCATCCACTATTACATATAACATATTACAAATGAGACATGATTTCGTCAATACTTATATATATATTTGTCTATGTATTTACTGTAAATGTGTTGAATTCTCTTAGTTTCGGATAAGAATTATATATACAACCATATATGGAAAAACTAAATATACTATGAAAATTTCACCACGTCATGATTCCCTCCGATTATTAATTAATAGACATTCAGATCAATAAACTTAATATTAAATAATTATTTGACTGTTTACTGTAGTTTATTATGTAAAGCATTAGATCAATTATTTAAAAGGATCATTTCCAATCTATATTGCAAGCCAAATTTATGGAATATATTAAAGTATATCCCAAATTTATAAAACAAAATATAATGATAGTGAATTTTAAGAGATTTCATATTTTTCCCCGATATTAATCATAATACAAAACAACACAATCAAAATCAGATAAAAATGACCGAGGTCAAATTAAGTATAGTTCAATAATGAAACTAGATAATATTGACTACCATGTTTGATTAAATGTAACAACAATTTCTCCAATATTTATTTATCATTCAATCAATAAAAATTCTGACAATTTTATTTTATTGCTATTAACAATTAAGTTGTTCATGATTTCTTAAAGGATTAAAATAATGACCCAGTTATAAACTAAGACCCCTCCCCAAGATATATATATATATATATATATATATATATATATATATGCACTTCATTAGCCTCAGTTTAAACATAATTCACACTATCTGGTTCATATTCACGCTACAAACAATAGCCATATCTGGATATTATGGTATAATCATTTAGTTCAGAATTGTTTTTGGATTAGTGTATCTTTGATAATTTTGATTAAAAGGAGTTATTCACTACTAACTAACAACAGTTGAACTATTAAAAACCAAAGAACAGTGAACGTCTATTCGATTTTAATTCGCAACATTTCAGGAATATATATCCAAAACCTCACCAAACATAGTACCAAGGGCCTTCTGCATGAACCAATGTAGACACCAAATTATGACCAGTCATGTGATCTGGTTAGATTAAACTGAAGCAAAGATAAATTATCTACATCATGTATTATACTCGGATCGGTTACCACCACGATTACTAAATGATCAAATACAGAATAAAATAATTAATTTAAAACTTAATGATACTATTTGTGTAATCAACATATCAGTTATTCCATAGATCTGTACCAAAGTAAATACGTTTAGGTTGATTTCATGTACAAAAAGATTGAACATAAAGTTTATCAAGCTAAAATGTATCTTAAAAACGTACTACTTAAATACTCTTTTATAGTTTGTTTAAAATGAAAAGTTTGTAAATTTTGATGTATATTAGTTTAAACATCTTTGAAATGTGTCAAAACAAAACTTAACTAATTTTAGATATAGTATAATCCCAAAATGTATAATATATTACATAATCTATTATGTAACAAATGTATTTTCAATACATTACTTCGTCAATAAGAATAGATTGTTATAAGTTTACAGAATATAATTACTTCCTATTAGAGATTAACATGGTATCCAACAAAATGATAGAAAAAAACATTGTTTAGCAACAATGACATTTACAAATTCTATAAATATTTCCTTTGAAATTCAAGTATTTAATATGATGACATTATAAAATTGAAATTGACGATCTATGCGAACAATTATAAATGTTTATATCCTTTAAATATTTTATTATGTTGAATGTTAAACCAGTTATCATGCTTTTATTTTCTTCAAATTGTACATATCACTCATATTATAAATCTATTTATGTAGAAGAATATTACGAACGTAAGTGAATAATATCAGAAGGGGCATTCTGGAGATTTTAGTAATTTCAATAGTTGAAATCATGAGTCAAATGAAGCCATACCATCATGGAGAACCTGGAAGCACTGGACGGCCGTTTCGTCCTGGTATGGGACTCCTCAGCAGTGCGCAAGCATGATCCCGCCCCCCGCGAGATTCGAACGCAGGACTTATCAGTCTCGCGCGCGAGCGCTTAATCACTAGACTATTGAGCCGACACCCAACAGTGTTAGTGTATGTTTAAACTAAAAATACAATGAATCTCTTAATAATAGTGTTTTTATACTTCCACACATTTATCCACTGATGAGTCAGGGTTTAAGATTATGGAATCATGTTTATTTTTCACATTTAGTCTTCTAGTCTTTTTTATATTTAGTCAGTAAACAAAATCATATAATTTTCGTTTAGATTATGGGAAATCAATTTCGGTTTAAACACATGAAAATATTCATGGGTTTTACTGATACATTCTTCCTAAATTCTGAAAAGAGAAAATGAAGACCTTGATTACTCAGTCAGTGGTCTTGAGTGCTGTTGGAGGTATGAGGGCGGTTATCACTTCCCGGTTGCCCACCTTGATTACTGCAGTTGGTAATATGAATAACAGTATGTCAGAATTAGGTTATCAATTTTCTTACATTTTCAATCCCAAATTCACATGCCATAACTTTAAACGATGCACTGTGCCCTTAACCTGGCTTATTAAATTGGAGATATAATTGTGGGACCTGAGAGGAATTTATTGGAAAGAATATTCTTTGTTCATATATCTGTGTTTGATAATGATCGGAATTTCCAGACAATTAAAATG